TGCAATATATTCTGGTACGATGGGGTAAAACATGCCATATATTTACAACTGTAGTGTTCGCGCAGCAAGTTAGCGCTTCAAACGTCACTGTGACTTTGCATTGGTGAGTTCCTACTCCACTTTTAGGACACAAGCTGCCCGAGAATACAAATGGAGCTTGGCTTCTAAGCCCGGCCTTTTTCTTTTTCAGGCGAACGCTGACAACCGCATTTACACGGTTTCGATGAAGGAGCATATCGCTGACATGGGCATGCCGAAAAGCCTGACGGAGGGCCCGCACAAAGGAACTGATCAGTGTAACGACTTCGCCAACTGCGTGCCCGATTCGCTGGTCGATCAGTTACCAAACACACCGGCATTCGGCAGGCTTCTTCACTTCTTCGAGTGTTTAAACTATGTGTCCCACCCAGTAGAATCGACGCTGGGTGGTCTTATGGCTCAGGCACCTGATATTGTAAGCTTTCCTCTTTACAACATCGCGTCATAAATGCCATTTTGTCGCCCTATCAACGAAATGAACTAGTCTCACCGTCAATACTAGCTCGCACAATCGAGCACGCGGGAAGGCGTACTTGGGACGCCTGATGCGTCGCCCTAAACTGGGTATGAAAAGTTGTCGAACCGTGATATGATATAAGGGATTTTGTTTTAGTTCTGGCATTGAACATCGTAGTCGCGGACTCGCCACACTTTGCTTTAAAGCATTCTTTTCATGGCCTAACTAGGCCCGGTGTCGATGTGTTTTTCACCATACCTCGTGCGTAGCCGATGCTGACCTACAGGTTGCAGCAGACCGGAAGCGGTTGGTGACTGCCACCTTAGGCTTGTGGAAGGAGAATGGTACTGAACAACTGCTGATTGTGGTGTGCGTTACTGAGGGCTGTAGTGTAGTCTGGCATGAAGCAAAAACTCCGGAAGGACTAATTGCCGGCGCTGCAGAAGGAGAACCCTGCAATCGGCGGGGATGAGACCTTTCAGGCAATCATAACGTCTTTCATGGTGGGCCATGTGCCATTCTAGCGACGAGCAAAAGAACGGTTGAAAGATCAATCATTGCCCTACTGCAGTCGTGGCTGGTCCGGTTTAAACTCAGGATATGAACACACGCTCGCAGCACACACGGTCGTGTCCTACTGGTGGGGCATTTTTGAGGACTTAAGATCTTATTTCTTGGTGCGGTGCTGTTGATGATCAGCTGAAACATTGCTGCTATGAATAAAATGCACAAATGTCTGTTACGGCTCTTACATACGCATAGTAAGCGAGCTGACAGTGCTGGAGCGAGCCTTCACGTTGCAAGCACGGCCGTCCGGATTCTGTATCATTGAGCGCGGACTAGTTAAACGGTCTGTTGCCCCACAACTGTTGTTGATCTGGATGCAGTGCTCCGGTCAGCTAGTTGCCCGGTCGCCATCGGACACCGGCTGGTTCTGACGAGGACCAGAGTGCATGGCGAGCTGCCATGTGCGGTCAGTTTGATGCGCATCGGTCGCCAACTCAGCCACCACCGTTTGTCGAGCGGTTTGGAAGCCACAGGGCGGGCCAGCTCCGAATGTGACTGAGCCGGCCGGCTGCGGCAGTGACCTGTCACCTGTGTGAAGGTCGGATCGGCACGACAGCCGCTACAAGAGTAAACGGTCGAAGATGTGAGTTGGAAGGCGGTGTTGTGGCTGACGGGCCTCGCATAGCTTCGGCGGCTCCCATATGCAAGGTGCCACCAGGAAAGCTGTTTGACAGGGCTCGGGTTCTCAAAAACAGCATCGACTGGGGAAAGGAGAATCTAACTGCTTAAGATAGATTACCTTTTGCCTTCTCAGTGTTCCGCATCCATAGCTCCAGAGGATATGGATTCGTGTGCCGTCTCTGTAGCGTTCTCGGGCCCGTTCTTGTCGTCACGTGTTCCCAAACACCCGGGAGGTCGTTTCGCCTTGCTTTGGGAACGGTTTCTGTAAATACATCTCAGGTACACAACTTTGTACATTTAGGAGAAAAAGAGCAAGCTAAGTACACAAGCTTCATGTGGGCGCGCATATCATCAGCATTGATACGCAGATGGTAAAAAAATCACGAATTATTTTCGCTTGTGTTTTTTCACTTTTCTATTCATTGTGATTTTTCCTGCAGTTGCAACTTGACTTTTGGGAGGGGGATGGAGTGTTGGGTGAGTGCCTCATCATGCATTTTGGAATGAACTCCAGTCGGCCTTGCGGAAGTTTTAACTGGGAGGAAACGAAAATGCACTTGCCCTGAGAGACCTCTAAATTTATGTGCATTTGGTAAGGGTCGCTAAAAAGCGGGTCTGACCTTGCGATTTGTGTGAAGTGTGGTACGATGCGAGGTGTGCAGAGCAGTGAGCTGAAATCGCTTTTGAGCTAGGGTGAGAGTGAAGAATTCCACCGCAAGCTGTGTCCGCACAGGAGTGAAAAAGTCACTTCATAAAAGCTGGAACTTATAAGTCAGTGAGAGACGCCCCGGCAAACGAAGGCATGATTTAATTTTGGCATGGACGTAATATCATAAACCTGACAATTATGCTCCACCTCCACGTCTCAGATCATTACAATGAAACAAAATACATTAAATAATACTAATTTGATGGTGGTACGATGAACATCAAAAATCATGTCACACCAATATTTGATGCTGTATTTGCATTTGACGCTGATGCTGTTATTATTGGACTGCTGCACATCAACACACCACCAAATCATAAAAGTAACTTAACTATGCCTAACCTAAAGGAGCGTTGCTTCATTTCATCTGCCTAACCTACTTGTATCAAAGCCAGATTTCTGAGTCACTGATTCTGACACAATTCCTTCTGCTACTTATCACGCAAGCAACCATCTTAACCAAACTTAGAGTAGCCCATACGTTGAGCATCATCTCAACCCACCTGACCTATTTCTTGACTACAGTAGCTGGGATGAAACATGATAAAGCTTATTTTTAGCTGGTTTCAACAGAAGTTGAGACCAGCCCAAACCGGTCCCGTTCCTGCTGGGAAAATGGGTCTCAAAGGCTCAAATGAACATGAAGCCGCCGACTGTTCGATGTTTGTGGTCCTAGCCGACTCCGACACCCGCTCTCTCTCTCAGGGGTTCCTCAAAGAGTGCAAGAGTACCTCTGACTGATGTTTCAGGTCAGGCCAGGTGATCCTTTATGTGGCCTACAGCCAGTCCCTCGGGCCCTTATGTGCTCCAACCCGGCCTTTGATAGCCAGTTCTGATGGACCGCCCGGACCCCTCTTCGGGCTTCGTCGAACACTTCCCTTGGTCGGCTTGGCGCCCTTGCGAGCACAGGACTTTCTGTTAGGAGCTGTGGTCTCTAACAGATACGGGGCCCCCGAACAGTATAAATCACTGGCCCCGGCTTTATAGCTGATGGGGAAGTGGACTCTTAGGCCTTGAAGCCGACACGGAAGCCGCTGTAAAGCCGCTATAAAGCCGACATGGAAGCCGCTGCAAAGCCGCCATAAAGCATTGCCCTTTGACAATAAATTGAGGTACCTGCATGTTTACCTGCAGCCCGGGGCCCCTGAATATGACTTTCACCAGTCCTTCGTGCCCTTAGACCTCACCATCGGGCCCTTGATCGTCGGATACGGTGGGCCCTCCAGGCTCTTTGTGCCTCCTCGAACACTGTCTCTGGCCGACTCGGTGCCCTTGCCAACACAGGACGCCGTTAGGCGCTGTCGGGTGTTGACTCTGGAGCCCTGGCTAATGTAAACGGCTGTCTCCGGCTTTCTCCCTGCCTGGGAAATGGGCCCTCAGGCCCATGCGGCCACGGAGCCGACTGTGCGTTACTGGTGGTGTGTGACCGACATATAGGCCCATATCGACTCAGGGCCCCTGATCAGCGAGCAGGGCACTCTGACTTGCCTTGGTGTGCCCGGCCTTGTGGGCCGGGGCCCCTAAATGCGATGTCCGACCGGCCTTTCGGTCCCCCGGGCCATCAAATCGGGCTTTTGGTCTTATGTTCCGAAAGGCCCGAGTGGCCCCTCGTAACCTTAGGAGGGAGTCACGTGTCTCTGTGCTCCCCTACCTGCGGCACTGGGTCAATGTGAGGTCAGAATAGAAAATTATAACCCTCATAACTTATGAAGGTACGGGCAAGTCTCATGAGTGCTGCCGCAGTGTACCATTATGTCTCACAGCTACATTTACTTGCTTTGGGCAACCTTTAAACCTTGCACGGTCTTTTAACATGTAGCGGAATGGTTTTCAACACTTATTCCGGCAGGGGTTAACCGGTTTGGTGTGAAACACCTTGTACATTATTAATACCGCAGGCATTTATTCTGAGAACGAGAGCGTTACTGAAACGAAAATCGAAAACATATCCGCTGTAGCTACCATTGCAGAACACTGAGAGAGGAAAAGGTAATTGATCTTAAGCAGTTGAATTCTCCTTTCCACCAGTCGATGCTGTTTTTGAGGACTCGAAACTTGTCAAACAGTTTTCCTGGTGGCACCTTACATATGGGAGCCGCCGAAGCCATGCGAGGCCCGTCAGCCACAACATCGCCTTCCAACTCACATCTTCGACGGTTTACTCTTGTAGCGGCTGCTGTGCCGATCCGACCTTCACACAGGTGACAGGTCACTGCCGCAGCTGGCCGGCCCAGTCACATTCGGAGCTGGTCCGCTCTGTGGCTTCCAAACCGCTCGGCAAACGGTGGTGGCCGAGCTGGCGACCAATGCGCATCAAACTGACCGCAAATGGCAGCTCGCCATGCACTGGTCCTCGTCAGAACCAGCCGGTGCCCGATGGCGACCGGGCAACTAGCTGACCGGAGCACTGCATCCAGATCAACAACAGTTGTGGGGCAACAGGCCTTTTAACTAATCCGTCCTCAATGATAAAGAATCTGGACGGCCGTGCTTGCAACGTGAAGGCTCGCACCAGCACTGTCAGCTCGCTTACTATGCGTATGCAATAGCCATAATAGTCATTTGTGCGTTTTATTCATAGCAGCAATGTTTCAGCTGATCATCAACAGCACCGCACCAAGAAATAAAATCCAAATCCCCACAAATGCACCGCCAAAATAACACAACCGAGTGTGCTACGAGCGTATGGCAGTCCTTAATCTCAGCAGGACCAGCTACAGCTTCAGTGGCCACAACTGATATTTCAACCGTTCCTTTGCTCGCCGCTAGAACGGCGAATCGCCGACCATGAACGACATTATGATTGTCTGAAAGGCCTCATCCGCGTTGATTGCAGGGTTCTCCTTCTGCAGCGACGGTAAGTAGCCCTCCTGGAATTCCTTCTTCATGCAAGTCTCCGCCTTGGCCCTCTGTAACGCAAATCACCCATTAGCAGTGTTTCAACACCCTTCTCCGAACACAGGCCTAAGGTGGCCGTCACCGACGGGTTCTTTTCTGCTGCAACCTGCAGTTCAACGTCGGCCGTGCACAAGACATGGTGAAAATACGTCGACACTGGACCGAGTTGGGCCATGAAAAGGGTGCTTAAAAGCAAGGTGCGGTGTGGTCGGGACTGCGACGTTCGATGCGAAAGGAACGAAAGGAATCGCCTCCTATTACATACACAGTCCGACGGTTTTTCCGCACAGAATGTAGAGTGGCGCCGTTACACCACCCGAGTAAGTCCTCCTGCACTGTGGATTGTGCGAGCTGTCACTGACGAAGGACTGGTTTCATTTTGTTGATAGGGTGTGCAGTGCCTGAACCATAAGGCAAACCAATGTCGATCGCACTGAGGAAAGGGGGGGGGGGACACACCTCAAAACACTCGAAGAATGCCTTCTGCCTGCCGAATTCCGGTGTGCTCGGAGGCTTATCAACCATCGAGTTCGGCAGGCAGTTGGCGAAGTCGTTACACTGATCGACTGCTTCCTGAAGGTCCTCCCTCAGGCTTTTCGGCAGGCCCAAGCTAGTGATAAGCTTCTTTATGGAAGACGCGTCAATGCGGTTTTGAGCGTTCGCCTGAAAAAGGAAAAGGCCGGGTCAAGAAGATAAGATACGTTTCTATTCTCGGGCAGGTTATGTGTCTAAAAGTGAGGAGTAAATCACCAATACAAAGTCATTAGTCAATACAAAATCAATGCAAATCACGAATACAAAATACATCAGTCACAGTGGCATTGCAAGGGCTAACTTATGGCTTCAACACTAGCTGTTTATATATATATATATATATATATATATATATATATATATATATGTCGCGTTTTACGCCATCCTGCTGTGGCATATCATATCCCATTTACGCGGTTCTGTCCCAATCCAGCAATATCAGAACACGCTGCCAGACAGCGGACTGATGCTTATGGTGCCAATATCTCAAGCACAGTACTGGACACATTAAAATGGCATGCCATTCGAATGTCTCGCTGCACACGCGGAGACAGGGATGATTGACAAAGAGTACGGCACAAAGGGAAACAAACTAAGTGGAAAGGTGAGGGTAGCATTTACCAGCATGAAGCCATCTTTAGAAATTTGGCCGCTGAGCAAAATGGCGCCTAATTGCCTCTACACTGCTCGCTCGCTTCTTGTACTCACGAATTTCAGCTCCTTCAGCACACAGCCCAATCTTTCAATCATCTCAGAGATCCTGCTTTCAGTATCTTGCAATTGTTGGGAGCTGAAGCTGCTGACAGTAGATCTCTTGCGTCGGGACCCCTGCGAAGGCGATGGCGGAGTTAGCTAGGAGAAAATAAATCCATAGAAACAATTACAAGCATATAATCCAAATGCAACGCTTGTGCAAATACTCTGGGCTGAGAATTCTGTGATTGAACTGTAGACGCGTACCTTCACATGTTCACGGTAACAGAATTCGCATACATGCCCCACAACATGTTTTACATACTGGCTCCCTTTCGTAAGGCCCGTGTACCGCCTTCTCCTCCTATCGACTCGGAACACCATAACAGATAACCTCTGCCCACTGACAGCGACACGTTGAACACACGGACACCCGCGCTGTAGCCCCGGTCGACGCCCCTTGTGTCTACCCGCCCTGACAGTTCCTGTCCGCTATGGCAGCTGGCGTCCGCCAGGCCTGACAGTTCCTACCCGCCCGTTAGTCCGCATTTGTCTGCTCTGACAGCCAGTGCTCGCCAACATCTACTAACCCCGATTCTGACGATGGCGTAGTACTGCGCCAGCAGCTCACTCTGCATGACCGGATCAGAACCCTTGCACGTATCAATGGCGGCAAGAATCTTCCCCCTGAAGGCAGCCATTACGCTCTCGCTGAAGCAGCCGTCGGCCATCTGGGGATACGAGACCACCGCGATCATGTTACTGAGAGCTCGGTGGGACAGTAAGATGATGCGCCGGATCACTTGCCCAGGCGAAGCTGACACCGTGAAAACGAACACCCGACAACGAGATGCCACAGCCGGTGCTGGTCTTCAACTGAGCACATTCCGGCATACAAAAGACATTGTGCCACCGACCCGCAGCCAGTCTGCCAGCACTGACCTTCCTCTTGGCGAACTTGGTTATGTACGGCTCCGATATAAGCGCGGATACCGCGGAGAGACATGCCAAAGTCACGATGTTGATCTGGATCAGCTTCATCGCTCTGGAAAACAGCAAACGCATAATGATAATGCATTACAGCTAGGGGACGAAGAGCAAGCTATCGCATGATGATGAACAGCAAATCCCACAACCCCTCATATTCACACTATCGTGCGTGCCTCGCATGCTGCTAAGTCGTAACATCATGACATGAAGCTCATAGATTGCTTCAGAACCATCGCGACATTGCCTTCCACCATGTTACTTTAAACGCAGGTGATGTCTCAGAAGCATGACGATGATATAAGAAACTCACAGAACATTTTCCAGTATTTTTAAATACTGGAAAATATAATCCATGTTGCAGTTGCAAACCAGTGACAGTTGCAGTCCCGAGTCTTTAGCAACATATATTTTTCTTTGTCTGAGGCTCCAACCGCAGCCCTACCGCAGTCTTGCCTGCCGCCAAAGTGCAATAGCGGCCGGGCAGTATGGTATGACGGGGATGCCCTCCCCGTCAGAGATGGGGAATAACAGACTCAACTCACCTGTCTTTCGGTACGGCCGTTGGTGTCTGTGTGGCTCCGTGATCTCCGCTCGTATTTATACCGGCCGCCTGGAATCCGGCGGCGCCCAGCAACCGCGGCATGAGCAGTGATGTCACGAGCGAGCACCCTCACGCGTTGTACCGCTGATCGTATCACCGGAGCGGGCCTGCTCTCCGGCGCGAGCACAGCCGGGGTGCTTGTTCTCAGGGCAAGTTATACCATAGGTAATGTTAAAACAGCCTATAGCCAATTTTGAAATGACAGCAAAGCCTTTAAGACATACAAATAAGGATGGCAATTCGGTCATTCAAAGTCAGTGCAGTTGATTGCATTTCACAAGATAAAATAGTGCAATTCAAAAGTGAATGCAATTGATTGCATTTCACAATAAAACAAGGCGATGAAAGCAATTTCATGCAAGGCAGGATTTTTCACAGAAAAGAGCTAAATCGCGACATTGGGAGCGCTTTTAGCCAACGTAAACCGCTTCGTCGGCATGAGGAACTTTATTTTATTCGCGGATTTTTTTCATTTCCACGCTCAGAATCGCATTTTACTGCTTTGAGGACGCATCCGTACAATTTAGAAGCCTCATGGGCATCTTAGACTGATAGCAAGTGTTGAAAGCTTCGGTGCCTGGGGGCCCTCCACTGCTATGGGCGGGGGAATGGCCCTGAAAGGCCCACCTTCCTTGATAATGCCACCGACTACAGACGAGCACGGACCTGGAGCAGATTTTTATAAGCATGCCCACCATTGTGAACATGGAAAATGTCATATTCGGCAGTAACCACGCACGAATAAGCGTTTGACATAAACACACTACTATCAGACTTCACTGCGGCGTTGGACATATAATACACCACCAACACACTTCACGGCGGCGTTAGACGTACAGGACATCGCCAGCATGCTCCACCGCGACGTTAGACATACAGCTCACCACCAACCAAGGCTATCTAACGCCACCAACACACTTGCCCCGGCGTCTGACGTACAGCTCAAAGCCAGCGCATTTCACCGCTGTTCAGCACAGTTCACGCGGATGTATTTCAATTGAGCCTTGGATTACAATGTGTGAACTCAATTAAGTTACTGCGTTTACGATTTGCATTGATAGGAAGACGGAAGCACATTTAAGCATCTGCCTTCGTGTGCTTGTGGTGTATAGATACTCATCGTGAATTGTGGTTTCAGTGGTGTACATTTTTGTTAGCGGTACCTTGTGAAACGGCTCGTCAAGTTCCTGTTTTCTGAATTGAGTTACGGCCTGTTTTAGTCTCAGGGCTAAAACTCCGACATATGAAGCAGACGCGCTCGTGCTCTCGTTCTTGAGAGCCCCTCTGACGTAAAATAAATGCTCATTAACCCATTGAAACGACGAGCAACTGAGGAGCTTATTTGCTAAACAGTGGCATTTTGTTGTCTAGAGCATTTCTTGCAATGAAAAACATGGTATAAGTTACAAGTGAGCGTTTTTCAGTACGTCTGATATTTGACTTAACATCTTAAAGTGCAAAACATTCCGGTTGATGCACGGTGGCGACCCCTTGCAGCATTCTATTATTCAGCATATTCTAAACTTGCAAACAATAATCTGCATGCGACCACATGGAGGCCGGCCCATCTCACAACACACCGTCCATCGGTGATCATTGCTTGTATCCGGGTCAATGACCACCTCTAGGTCCTTCGCTGTCATCGATGTCCTATACTGAGAACCTGGCTGTCCGCTGCTGCGACGTTTGCTCCTGAGCTCGCAGTCTTGGGGCGCCGGCGCCGATCTGCTGGTCCGTACCACCTGGGCAATTATTACTGCGAAGGACTTATCAATCCTGCTGTTAAAGCAATTTTTGTACAAATCGGCTTATTCCGTGGCCTTTGCCAGCACTATAACAATCGTTATTTTTCCCCCACTTCTTCCTAGAATTCCGATAGTCCTTGGCCGGGTCCAGCGGGTTTGGCGGATTATTTTCGAGCGGATCAAACCGATGGAAAAACCTTGGCGTGACCAGCCCAACCAGATACCAAACATCACGTGACCAGTTGACCAGTTCGTGACCAGTCATCACGTGGCCAGGGACTAGTTCATCAAGCGTCGTTAAGAGTGAAACAACGAAATTAGGCAGACTGCGCCAGCTGGTTTAGGTCAGTTACAAGAATTGTAATTCTACGAATCAATGAATTTAGACTACCAAGATAGCGCTTCCACGAAACTGAAATGAATCGTCTAAGGAATCAACGAAGGGTTGTTCTACGACAGCAGCAGTGCTACGAATAATAGTCATGACAACAAAACGAGGCACCATTCAAAGCAACGAAGCTCAGTACCCAGTGCTCGGGTGGGGACAAAAATACTAACACATGAGACAGACATGCTCGTTCTTCCAAACCGCTCATCCAATTTCTTTGACATCTTCAGCAGTCGATTTAGTGCAATGACTTGGGTAAGGGGGTGGCGATATCATGACCTGGCGTAGGGTCAAACACTTCAAAAGCGTGAAGGAAATTGTTAAAATGGAAACAACGGACAACCACTGCTCTAATCGGCACGAAATCCGGGACCGCGTATCCGGACGGGGGGGGGGGGGGGGGGGCAGTGGAGGCAAATTGCCCCCACCTCCTGAGGCGGGAGCAAAAGTATCTTTTTGCCCCCACAAAATTTCAGGTGCTTCAGAAAGGGACGTCGGTTATGTGGTAGTACTTGCTTACCGTGCTACCAAAGAAAGCGTAGATCGTCTCAAAAAGGGCCCGTCTCAGGTTGGCAAAAGGCTTATCGCAAGCTCAGGGAGAGCCCTCTGAAGTCTGGAAAGGGTCCATCATAAATTCAGAAGTGATTCGCTTCAAGTTAAGTAGGGACCCAGTATAGGCTGAAAGACGGTAAACCTTACGCTTGGAAAAGGTCCATCTCACTTTTTGGGGCCGGGAAGGGCCATTTCTGGTCTGGAGTGGGCCCATCGTAGGCTCAGAAACCCAATGGCGGTGTATCTGCGAGGTAAACTGTCCCCAGTGAATAAAGAAAAGGTCAAAACTATTTTCCCCGTGTACCAGGTGGCCCAAATGGGACCCTTGGAGGATTTTTAGAAGAAATTGGTTTATTATGTCATCCAAGTAAGCGTAAAGAGCCCGTCTCAGGTCTGGAAAGAATCGATTTCAAGGCAGCAAACCCCTATAAAAGTTTCATGCACGGGAAGAGCCCATTGTAGACTCAAAATGGCCCCGAGCCCCGAAAAATGCAAAGGGCCCTCTGACTGACAATCGCCGGCCCCAGGATGGTCCCGGCTTTGAAAATGGACCCTACACCGCCATGGGGCAGACTGTTCGAATTTTGTGGCCGCGGATGATCAACTGGTGAACCCTCATTGCCTCCAGGGTCCCAATCAGCGCAAGAGGCCTTCTGATGGGCATTTGTGGACAGCCGGGATCGCGTGTCCCAGTCTCTGGCCAACTCTTCGGGCCTCCTATTCGGGCTCTTGATCGTCGGTCCAGAGGAGCCCTAAGGGCCCATCTGGGCCAAAAAGGTGTGCCCCTTTGTGCTCCCTTTGTGCCTCCCCCCCCCCCTCCCGGACCTGTGCTCCGTCTCTAACTTATGATGGGCCCGTCTCAGGTTCGAAAAGAGCCCCTTTCCAGATAAGAAACGCCCATGTAAGCCTAGGTCTGGAAATTGCCCATCTCCAATCAGAAAAGGAGACTCAGAAAGGGCCCGTTGGAAAGACCATGGTGGACTCAGAAAGGGCCCGTTTTCGGTCAGAAAGGGGCCAATGCTAGGTTAGGCTCAGAAAGGGCCCACTCAGGTCTGGAAAGGGCCATAGTACACTCAAGAGGACCGTTATGAATAAGAGGACCATCCGTTTTGGGCTGATAAAGTAAGCATCTCATGTGCCAAGAAAGCATGCCTCTGTGCCGGTCAGAGGTAGTGTTCGAGAAAGCCCCAAGAGCCTGGAGGACCCACCTGCTCCGCCATCAAGAACTCGATTGGAGGGTTTAAGAGCATGAAAGGCTGGTCGGAGTCTTGTTCACGGTCCACGGCTTGCGGGAACGGACCCTTAAATGGCAGTCAAAGGACTTTTGCACCAAACAAGGACACCCTGAGTCGATATGGGTCTATATGTCGGTCACGCACCACCAGTGCCTCACAGTCCGCTCCATATCTGTATGGTTGTAAGGACACACTTCCAAATCAGCTACAAAGATTTACGCCGGTTGGTGCCCCTGTACACGTCAAGGGCCCGCAGTGCCTAACAGACAGCCTTGTGCTCGCGTGGTGCCCCGAGGCGATCAAGGGCAGTGCTCGATGAGGCCCGAAGAGAGGCCTGGGTGGCCCAACGGAACAGACTATCAAAGACCCGGTTGGATTGCATAAGGGCCCGAAGGATTGGCTGTAGGTAAAAAAAAACAAAAAAAAACAATCGTGGCTCGTAGGGTCGTGACGCGAAATATCAATCAGAGATCCTCTTATACCGTTTGAGGACCCCTGAGACAATGCGGGTGTTAAACTACGCCAGAGACCACGAACACCGAACAATTGACTCGCTATCAGTATGTATCCTGGACGCCCATTTTCCAAGCAGGAACAAGACCGGCGCCACGATTTTAATTTGTCTGGGTCGCTAAAACAGTGGTTGGGACCCCTTTGGCAGCCAGGGGCCCACGGTGCATAGCAGGGGGTCATGTCTCGGCTAATCACCCCTAGTCCGTCACGGACTTGGCTTGAGGAGGTCCGAAGAGGGGTGGGAAGGCCCCTCTTCGCACCTCCCATGTGAATGAGGCCATCCCGTATTTGCCTGAGAAGGTTAATTTTTGTGTGCAAAATCTACTAGTGAAGCAAATTATAAAAAGGTTTGAGCCTGCGCGCCCGCAATCCCGGAAGCAAGAACAGCGATAGCCTGAGTTGCAGTTTCCGTAAAACTGAACGGCGTTGGCAACTAAATGTAGCATGCAAAGTCGAATTACCACATAATGATAAGTGGTAATGGTACATAGTGGTAACACCAGGTGGCGGGTGCCACGCGC